CTTTCGCCATCTATTGTTCCCAGCATCAGGCTCTTCTCCAGGGAGTCCTTCCTTCTCATTAGGTGGCCAAAGTATCTGAGTTTCATCTTCAGGATCTGGCCTTCTAAAGAGCAGTCAGGGTTGATCTCCTCAAGGACTGACCAGTTTGATCGCCTTGCAGTCCAAGGGACTCACAGGAGTTTCCTCCAGCACCACAATTCAAAGGGCTCAATCCTTCGGCACTCAGCCTTCCTTATGGTCCAGCTTTCACAGCCCTAAACTGCAACTGGGAGAACTAGCCTTGACTATACGAACGTTTGTCGGCAGGGATGCACACCTTTATCAAACCGCTAAAGATGCCTGCATTTTCTGAGGATACCTTCAGCAGGTGTATCATGCACAAGGTCTTTCACCCATAGGGAAGGAAGGCTTTCTGGGTGGGGTGGGGTCCCTTATCCCACCCCACAATGCACAGCTGCTCTACTTCCCCACACAAAATTGTGGCTTCACCAGTGAATTTCAGTTCTCTCGAAGAAAGAAGGCTGGCTAAACTTGCCCTAAACCCACCCCTGCTCCTTCTGGGGATATTTAGACCAGGCTTGGTGTTTCCCTTACTACTTTGGAGGATGGAGGAGCCTGAAACCAAGAGGCCTTCTCCATTTTTGCTGGCTTGCTTCACTTGAGAAAAGCAGACATTTACGGGTGGGTGCGGGGTTTTTTCAACAGAGACTGCCCGTTACTTTCCTGTGTGAATTCCTACCCTTCCCAATCAGGGGACACATTCAAGTCAGTGATTTATCCAAAGACATCTCTTTTAGGAAGCTGATAATCTCAGAGAAACCACTCAGCCAAATCGTCTTCCTGAGATGGAATGACCTGAATTGGGTGCCATGGCTAAAAATGTTCAGCTCCATATTCTCATGGATTTATTTGTGCAGGTAAATGAAACTCTGCCAAAAACAGTTCCAGTGGAGCTTCAAATGCCTGCCTTCACATCCCATAAGTTATTCCCATTAAGTCTGCTGGACCCAGGAAGCGTGTGCGCATTCTGGATGAATCCCAAGAGTTACTAGCTTCTGTTCATGCCTTCCTTTGTATACAAATAGTTGCCAATGATGCTGTTCAGACTCTGGATCTAACATGCCATTTGTGACTTTGCAATATGTCTGTAAAGGTGGATCACGCGGCTTGTTTCAGGTCAGGGTTCCAAAGGACCGAGTGTTTCCAGCATCCTCCTGAGGGTGCATGAAGCCAAGGGGATTTCCGTTCCGGAGTCACGGAAGTTTAGTCCTTCTTATTGAATAGGCCTTCTCCCAGCTGTTGTTCTAATACAATCCTTAGAGGGATGGATTTTTCCATATTAAGGAATGCGGGCAAGGACCCTCATGCTTTTTCTATGCACCCTCTAACGAATAACGGAACACATTTTGTAAACCTCTGTAGTAGCTCGCCATTTTCATCTTTAGGAGCTGGCCATTTCCAAATCTTAGCCCATCAGGAAAACAACTGTATATAGGAGCTTCCCCAGCTGTAGCGAAAGCAGAGCAGCTGCACAGTTGGCATTATCTGTCAGGCACCCAAAGGAGATGCTGGCCAGGATCCAGGGAGTCACTTGAAACACGCCTAGGTAGCTTTTCGCCACTGAGCCAAGTTGCTCAGTGTATGCATTTCTCAGGTTGTCATGATTCCAGCAGAAGCTAGCAAGCTGCACACACAGACAACGCGTGTAAATGGGGTGTACAATGGTTACTCTCCACTGTCTTTTTCCAGAACCGTACGGTTTTGTTATCCAAAAATGGAGGCAAAATAGCTCAGGAGTGCACACACAGACCCCATCTGTTGTTGTTGATATGGTTGCTTTCCTTTTTGTTTTGTTTTTTGTAAGCTGTCCAGAGACTTTTTAGTATTGAGACAGCATATGAAAACTTTAAATACATACATATATACCGTATTTCCCCAAAAATAAGACCGGCTCTTATATTAATTTTTGCTCCAAAAGATGCACTAGGTCTTATTTTCAGGTGATGTCTTATTTTTTCATGTACAAAAATCTACATTTATTCAAACACAGTCATGCCATCTTCTTCTGGAACATCGTCATAACTCTCCAAACCCCGGATTGTGTTACAACGGACGTACTAAATGTGTCCGTCTGGCTGACGATCTGAACAGGCTTATTTCGCGGGGGTAGGGCTCATATGACAAGCATCCCGAAAAATCATGCTAGGGCTTATTTTCCGGTTAGGCCTCATTTTCAGGGAAACAGGGTACGTACATACATCCAACCCTCGGGGCTGCATGAGAGCAGTGAGTGCTCCCAAGCACACTGATTCTTACCCAACGATTGCTCCTGCTGCAGCCAGGCAGAGCTAAGCAAGCAAGGGAGAGCCCATCCCTGCAGAAGTCCGAATTCTGGGCTGCTGGAGGAGAGAACCCAGAGCTGCAACTGAAAGCAGTGCTGTATCGCTGCGTTGTCCTTCCTTCAGCAACCCGGGTTCCATGTTTGGCTAGTGCACCAAACCACCCAGGAATGGATTGTTCTTGGGTTCTTTCTCAGTGGGAGTGATCTGGTGGCTGGGAAGTAGCACTCAGGAGGTAATGGAAAGCCCAGACTGGGTCCTAATCTGAGAATGGGGGAACATGGTGCTTGGGAATACACAATACACGAGCTGAAACTGACCCATTGCTCAAAAAATCCCCCATTAGTTTCCCTTCAAATGTCTCTGTTTCTGCAGTCTAAGTTGACACGGCAGTTCTAGCTACTGTGAGAGGTGCATCCAAGCAAACTTGCATCTGATTGCAGGGTGTGAAAGGAAGTAGCAATGGTAGCAATCGTTTGAATGATTGTGAATCCAAACTCCTTCCTGGTCTATTGGAAATCAGCCAAAGAGCTTGCAGTTCATTGGGATCTTGCATTTGGCTGAAACATAGATTCCAGTGAGCCTAGAAAGCAGGGAAGAAAGCCTCTGATGGAGAGAGAGCAGGGCATGGGAAATGACAATATGGCGTTATTTAGGATAGGCAAAAGAAAGCACAGGACTCCGTCTTGTCTTCATGGGTGGGATCTGCTGACACACAGCAGGATGGCTTTGAAGTGTGGATTTGGCAGGCTCAGGAAAAGCAGATCTCTCAAAAGCTACTATCCAGGACAACCAGACCGAATCTCCAGGCTTCGAGGCAGGTTTATCTGCTTTGAACGGTCTCCCCAGATACAGAGCTTCCAGTTCTCACCATTCAGTTGTAAGGAGCAGGGAAAAGGGGTGCTGACTGGTGAGCACACCCAAGGAAGAAACGCCACCCCCTCCTTCACCTGTGTGTATGCATGCAACACGTTTTCGGAAGGGCAGGGGGTGACAACGACACAATTTATTTTTCCCTTGGGTTGCCAAGGCATTCAACCCTGCAGGAAAGGCAGGAAATCCTGGCTTGGTGACAACCTTCTCCAACCCAGCACCCTCCCGATAGGTTGGATTACAGCTCTTATCATCCCCAGCCAGCATGACTAATGGTGGGAAATGCAAATAGCTGCAGGAAAAGGGTGATAATTGTCTGAACCTCAACAAGTGAGAGGGTTGAGGAGGTGGGAGGTGGGAGGATCCGCAGAATGCTTTGCATCTTGACCGCCACAAGGAAGCATTCATCTTTTTCTGCTGCCATCTAGATAATTATCAGACCCTATCACCCAGAGGCTGCATTAGCATCTTTAAAAATTGATTTTATCTTTTGTTTTAAAAAAGCATCGCCTTTTTTTTAAAAAAATGCATTTTTTAAAGTCTGGTTTGGCCCATTCAGATTATTAATCTGAATTCACACTATGTATTTTCCTATATAATTGTTTTTTCAAACTGTGGTGTCTACAGGGAGACTTTCCTCCATCGCTGTTCGGAAGACCAAGGCTCAGATCTACTCGTCCTTTAAAAAAGTTCATATAAATGCTAAACGCCCCCAGGGTGGAAAAAAACTGACTTCATCTTTGAAATATTAACAACAGCAATCAAATGAAATGTGAGCGTTTCGCTGGGTACATACCAGGCCTCCGGACGTTTCAGCTAATTTCTGAGATATAAAAGAGCTTTTCAGTAGCCTCAAAGAAGCAAATCCTCATAAAAAGGAGAGAAACCTGATTATCAAATGAGGTTAGCTGGTAGCATCTGCAAACAGATTAGTCATAGCTATTGCAAATGCTGTTTTGTCTCTGCAGAATGTCAGGGGCTGCGTGTGTCCCCATATTTGGGAATATTTCTAACAATTACTGGGGCCCTCACCTATCTGTGTCTACTTGAATGCTGGGTTTTCATTTCTTTTCTGACAAGGATTCTAATGAGAAGTGGTGTTTAGCTATGTCTTGAGAAGGCTTAACTACCCAGCAAAAGCACTTAAGCTTAGATTCCTCCAACTGCTCAACTGAGAGAAAGTCCCGGGGAACTCACTGGGGCTCACCACGGTTGCAAGCGAGTAATTTTGGACCAAGGATGAGGAATATTTGGTCCCCCGGATGGTACGGGACTGCAGTTCTTGTTAGCCCAAGCCATCATAGCTAAGAGACAGGGATGGTGGGAACTGGTCTGAAAACATCTGCATGACTAAGAATTCTGCAACTCCTTTAGACCCTGGAAATGGTTTCGCTCCCTCTCTAGATGTCCACATGTAGGACTTCAGTTGTGAAGTACACAACTAACAGCTCTCTTCCTTCAGCCCCTCATCCTCTCTGCTTTACAACAACTTCCAAATTTCTGATATCTTAGAGAGAGAGAGAAAGAGAGAGATCTGTCTGCAAACCGTGATAAACTAACAGAAAAAATATCCAAGCAAACCAAAGAAGAATTATTCTGAGCATGTGCAATTTCCACATAGTAAATTCACTTAAATCACAGCACCGAGCAAAGAATGAAATTTGATTCTGCTATCCTGAGCGTGAACACATTCAAGAGCCAGAGTGGTGTAGTGCTTAAGAAAATGGGACTGGGACTCAGGGGATCTGGGTTCCAGTCCCCCCTCTGCCATGGGCCAGCTGGGTGACTTTGGGCCAGTCACAGATCCTCCGACCAGCCTACCTCACAGGGTTGTTGTGAGGATAAGATTCAGAGCAGCATGCCCTTGCGGTACTGACATTGGGCCTGTTTGCCACTGCTGTGGTCTGTCACCTGTTGCCCCCTGGGGTGCTATTTGGGGAGCCTGGGCTGCAAAGTTCAAGACTCGTCGCCCCTACTGGGGTATTTATCACTCTTCCAATCCCTCCTCCTACTAATATTTCTATACTGCCCATAGCTGAAGCTCTCCCGGCAGTTCACAACATTTAAGTCACCCCTCCAGATTTCAGCAGGCCCGACCCTGCTTAGCCTCCAAGACGAGGCAGGATCAAGCCCTTCAGGCTAAATGGCACCTATACACACACCTGCACACACACACACGGAAGGGTTTGAGTCGACATGTATAGCAAACAAATGAAGGCTGCAGTGAGCCCCAAGTAAGCTTAGCCTGGGAGGCGGCCGCCTGCTTGGCACTGTGTGTTTCCCTGCTCTGGCATGGCTCCGGCCTAGTCATGTTCCATCACAACCAGACTGATTTGCCACATGCCTTCATGATGCATGGTTCAGCAGCTGTACATATTCAGGCAAAGCACTCTTGCTCCCATTTCCAGAGGCTGCCTGTTGTCTCTCAGCATGAGTCACCGTTCTGGCCTTAACTCCCACAGCAACCAAAGAGGGGAACTCCACCAAGAGTGAGTCATTCTCAACTCTTCCACACTCTAATGGTAAATCAGCAGCTGCAATGCAGAAATAAAACTTTGTCTCAGCTATCAGCTATTCAGAGACACTGATCTAGGGACACAATCTTTTGCAGTGCAAACCCAAGACTGCAGATCCATTAATTTCCCCTTTGAAATCCTTTGACAGTTATCCGAAGGTGACTCTGGAGTTATGAATGATCCTTCCATGCAAAAAGGTATCCTTCACTTTTATGTTGCCCCAGGATTCTACCATTTTGCGAACATGCGAAAGGACAAACATAGAAACTGAGTGAGTCAGAAGGGGCCTCCCAGGCCATCTAGTCTGACCCCTGGCTCCACCTGGCTCCGCTCATGACATGCCTACCATGTGCATGTCCAGCCTATCCTTGAACACCCTCACCGATGGGGCCTCAACCATCTCCTCTGGAAGCCATTCCATACCCATTTGTGGAAGTAACCGTTTTGATGGGTGCTGATGTGAGAGCTCTTATTTTTAAAATCGGAAGCAGTTAAAAATTACTTTTATCTACCTGCATTGTTTTCATCTCCCAAACAAAATTGCAAGCCCTTCTAAATACCATTTAAAAACAGAGCTTCTACTTCAACACCAATTAAAGTAGTTCTTACGGGATCCCTGCTAAATGTGCACATTCCCAACCTAGAAACCTAGTTTCTTTTTTTAATAAAACATTTTATTCAAAATAACCCTAAAACAAAGAAAAACTAAAAACAACATCAATCATCAGAAACATCGGACCTGCTGGGTCAGCCCCCACATTTTTTTCCATTTATGATAACTTAGAAACAGATTTAAATCTATACGAAGTCCTGTTTCTCTAGCCAATAATAAAAAGAGTCCCAAGTTTGATAGAAATCAGTATCTTCTTTCTCCTTCAGTGACAAAGTCAATCTGTCCACTTCTGCACAGTCCATGATCTTTTTTAGGATCAGGTCATCGGTGGGTGGCTCTTCACTTTTCCAGTGTTGAGCAAATGCAATCCTCGCCACACTAATTACATGTAAAATCAAGTTCATTTCTTGTTTACTAATATCAACAGGTATAATGCCTAATAAGAAGACTTCAGGTTTAAAAGCTAAGGATTTTTGTAACATTTCCTCAAGCCATTTATGTATTTTAATCCAATACTTTTTCGCATTATCGCAAGTCCACCACATATGAGAGAAAGTACCCAATTTATGTTTACATTTCCAACATCCATTTGACATATTTGGAAACATCTTAGCTAATCTATTTGGCGACGGATACCATCTATAAAACATTTTATACAGGTTTTCTTTATGTGAAGTTGCTAATGTTACCTTAATATATATTTCTCTCCCACAGCTTTTACCATTTTTCTAATTCAATATTATATCCAAAGTTTTGTGCCTATGTTTCATAGTTTTCTTAACCTGTTCATCTTCCATTCTTCTTTCGAGTAAGAAATTATACAATCTTTTAATCATTTTCTCATCTGATTTAAGCATCACACGATCAAATGCTGCTAAATGTTTATAAAAGCCCCACATTTTATAGTCTTTAGCATATCTCCATTGTATCTGCACCTTATGCGACCAAGAAATATTAAATCCTTGTTCTTGTGTTTCTTGATTCTATTTCAATCCTCCATCATTATCCAAAATGTCATCATATCTTGCTTCCATAGGTGAAAGCCATCTTGGTAATTTATTATACAGTTTTGTCTTTAACTTTTCCCACACCGACATTAATGATTTCCTAATATAGTGACTTAA